AGTGTGAGTTTAGGGTGGAATGACTGACTTGTATATGTATTAAGGGGGAAAGATGCAGGTTAATGCCCCCCCCTCCTCCCCCCCCCCCCCCCTCCATCCAGTCATTGCCTGGTATGGTATTTGAGAATAAGCCTCTGTCCTCATGAGCCACTTTGGCCAAAGTAGGCGTGGGGAGGCCCCTCTTACCAGGCTGGTTTTGTAAACCTGCACGCCTGCTGTGAAATCAGGACTCAACTTCAGGTGGGAGTTTCTTACTACCAAGCAGAGCTGTGAGCATGGGAAGAGGAATGTAGTGGCTGCAGAATTTTTAAAATAAATTTAAAAAAAAATCCCTAGTCCTACATGTGAAAAAACATGACAACCTCCGGGCTGTCCAGTAGAGGTGCATCGCTTGACAACTCCCGCAAGCCCCTTCCAGTGCCAAGAGACTGGTCAAAAAGAGTGGGAGCTTATGTATATTTGAGAGAGGGGTCCTGAGCTGTTTTGAAAACTATTCACGTGTAAACCGAGACTGACCTGTGGCCACTTGTACTTACTTACTCTTCTCCAACTCCAGCTTGGAGAAACAGCGAGTTGTGGGTGGTGTCTTGGGGAGGGGGAAGGAGTGCGGGGGGTGGGGGGATGTGGTGCCATTTCCTCTAGGGAAACAGATCTCTGTAGGCTGAAGATCACTTACAGTTCTTGGAGAGCTCCAGGCCCCAATGTAGAGAGGGTGGGATAGTGGCCTTTTGGAAGCCCTTTAAGGTTCCTAGTATCGGGGGGGGGGGGGGTTCAGATTGGGGAAAATGTTCTCTGCTTTCCCATCTTCCCTTTGTCCAGGGTACTATAACTTCAGACTGCTTTGAAGCTAAGGGTGGAAGAACTGGTTAAGAGTATTAAAACGGCAATGGGAACCGAGCCCTCAGGGACAGCAACTCCAGTGGCTGCTTGCATAGGATCCTTGCACCCGTTGCACACAGCACTGGAGGAGCAGTAGAGTGGGAGGCTTCCTTTCTAACTCAGGCAGGTTCAGAGGATGGCTTCTGAGCTTCCTGTCATGTGACGGATGTCATGTTTGTATAACTGTGCATTCCGTTCTCCCAGATCAGCACGGAAGAGGCAAAGATGAGGGAAGAACCCTCTCCCACCAGTGCTGTACTGCTTGGATTCAGGCTTAGGTGGCAGTCAAGACAACTAACATAAGTGGCTTCTTGAGGGAGCAGCCCTAACCCTCTATGTGTGTGGGGGTATTTCCTAATCACTTATCTCCCCATCCCTGCCCCAGGAGGACTTCTAGCAGCAGCAGCAGCCCCCCCCCCCCCCCGGGGCAACATTCTTGCCTCTTGGAAGGCCAGTCCATGAAGTGAACATCCTGCGCTCGTGCTCTTTCTTCCTTCTGCCCAAGCACTGCCTATTTGGCACAGCAAGAATCAGCCAAGGATTTTGATCGACACGAAACCAGCTGCCTGCATGATGGAAGCCTAACCAACACAATTGTGCGAATTCAAGCGGGCCGTGGTAAAGCACTAAAGGGCGGGCAAATGTTTTCTCGCAGGCAGCTCTTGGCAGAGTATTGGTATGATTCAGTTCCTCCTCAGGACTTGTGCTTTTAAAAGAATGTCCATAAAGTGAACTGCCTCTGGTGCAGGGATTACTGTGGGGGCTGCCAGCAACTGCAGGTGGAGCGATTTCACAGCAAGACCAACATGATTGGTTCCTGTATGTCTCTGAGGGCACTGGGGGTGGTATTGCTTTGGGAATGATTCAGGCAATGTGGGACAAGCTTAAGATCTGGAGTGGTCAAGACAAGTTGTACCTCACTCAGAGGGCAGAAAAGAGGGGAAACTGGATAGCTGTGATAACGTTGGCTTTCCCTCATCCCTCTCCATATAAGTGGACAGGACTACTTCTAGGCTTTGTTAGCAGGAAAGGAAAACCAAGCTGCAGACCTTAGGCTGCATGTTAAGAACACAAGCGATGCCAATGTTGGATCAGGCCAAAGGCCCCTCCAGTCCAACACTCTGTGTCACACAGTGGCCAGAAATACCAGGTGCCATCAGGAGGTCCACCAGTGGGGCCAGGACATTAGAAGCCCTCCCACTGTTGACCCCCCCAAGCACCAAGAAGACAGCATCACTTGCCCCAGAACCCCTATCTATACCTTGTGGCTAATAGTCACTGATGGATCTGCTCCATATGCTTATCTAATTCCCTTTTGAAGCCGTCCATGCTTGTAGCCGCCACCACTTCTTGTGGCAGTGAATTCCAAGTGTTAATCACTCTTTGGGTGAAGATGTTGACAGTATTACTCAGGTCTATTCAACCAGCCCTGCTGTACTACAGGAGGAACCTTGGAAATCTCTTCTCCCCAAGGCTAAGGGGACTTTGACTTTCAGGACATACAATCCTGTATTACACACTGCTTTTGAAACTCTTGGCCATGCTTATGAACAGACATTTAAACCACATTTTAAGATGTTCAAGGATTCTCTGAAGAGTGAGACACACACACATTTTCTGAGCCAAAACCCGGCTGAGTCCTTTGCTGGTCTCCCCTGCTTATAGGTAATGGAAGAGAGCAACCCCAGTGGCCATTCTGATAACTTCAGCTCTCCATATGAAGGGGCTAAAATAAGCACACTCCAGCAAACGCTCATCCCACATTCCTCAATTAGGGGCTGTGCTTTTAAATGTACTTCTTCTTTGCAAAGACCTTACCTGGTATCTTATTCCAGGTAGAATGCTCAAAAGATCCCAAGTTAGTTCAATTGTCCCACGTGCATCCCCTACAAGTTTCCACAGCAGTTTTTCAGTTTACATGTTTTAATTGGTTGCCTCTTCAGCAAATGGTAGAAATGTTGACACAAGCCAGCCTCAGTTTTGTCCTCTTTTTATCAGCGGCCTCAACGGGAGGGCCCCAGTCACCACAACCAGCCTGCAGCTCACAGTTGCTGCTGGGCTCTGTGTTCGAGAGGAGCTAGCTAAGATGCTTGGCAGTGCTCACCCCCCCCCCCATTTATGCACACTGCATTTGGCATTGCCCCGGCCTCCTCTGTGTCTCCCCCTGCCCTGCCCACTTGCATCAAGACTAGTGGGGGTAAGAGAGCCAGAGCAGGGTAGTGTTCCACTGCCTCCAGCTAGAATGTGGGGAGCTCAGGCCAGAACTCCTGGCCCAGTTACCAAGGGCAACTGTGCTGCTTCTTGTGGAAAGTGAGAGATGAGCATCTTTTCGAACTACGTGGATTTTATGTGGGTCCTAGGGTGGCAGTTGAAGGAAATTTCAAAAGGGGAGGGCCCCAGCCCTCCCCCCAGGAATCCTTTTCTTCCCTGAGTGAGAAGTCCTTGAGACCCCGAGGAAGCAGCAGCACCCACAAGGCAGGAGAAATGAATGGCACTGTCTGGAGAACTAATTCTTGCTGAAGCCGGTGGGGTTCTGCGATTGCCACCTCCACAAGTCCTCACCTGAAGAGGGGAGAGGGAGGAAAGGGTTAAAAGGGTAGATGTTGCAGAACAGGACATGAGATGTGCTTGGCCCTGTGTCAATACCGCCCTCCTCAACAGCCTGCCAGCTACCATGAAATAGGGAGAAGGCCGTTTCCTTTCCTGATCTCATCAGATCTCCTAAGTGGGGTCAGCCTTGGTTAGTACTTCAGTCAAGGAAGTCCAGGGTTGCTACGCAGAGGGCAGGTGATCACAAAACACCTCGGTTTGTCTCTTGCCTTGATAACCCTACCGGGTCGGCCTAAGTTGGCTGAGGCTTGACGGCAAAAGACCCTGCCCCTGGACCAAAGGGCAAGGATCGCCAGTGTCAGTGAGAAGAGCAGCCAGCCTGTGGGTGGTCTGGAAGGGAGTGTCTTACTTACACATCTTGTCCAGCCCGAAGACAGCTTTCCAGCCCAACTCCTGCTCCGCAAGGGCAGGGTTGGCATAACAGGAGGCCACGTCCCCTTCCCGACGCGCAACAATCTTGTACTTGAGCTGAACGAAAAACAAGACAGCTTATCATCAAGCTAGGGAGGGTGGCGGTGGCAGACTGACGGGGTGCAAGAGAGACCCGAGAGAAACGAGTCTAGGGCTGCTGTTTTGGCAGAGTCCAAAGGAAGAAGAGTGGGTGGCCTTAATCCCGGCAAGGCTTCTAGAACAAGGTGTTGGGGGTGGTGCTCTGAGGCAACTGACAGCCGGCTTGCACTTTAAGCGGAACATACGCAGTAGAGTCTTCATGGGGCCATACCACTTCAGACACACAGGAGAAAAATGCAAGTGGACCAGCCAAATCCCTTTTAAAGGAAGGGCCCCAGAGTAGAGGCCACTTCAATCTCAGAGCAGAGAGAGATAAACTGGGGCCCCGGGGGCCACACAATCGGCTAAAACAATTCTGTAAACCTCCTATGCTTTGTCAGCCCACCCTGGTGTGGCTGTGGGTGACTTAGCAGGGGTGAGTTACACAGCCCTACTTCAGAAGTAACCGGGGCTGCAATCCGGTCAAGATTAAATGCTTTTTAAAGCCCCACTTATTTTTATAGGATGAGATTTAAGCATGTGCTGAACTCTCAGAGTTAAATCAAACTTCACGCAGAGCATTGAGTGAGGTGAGAGTACTCTGAACACATGTAAGTGATTTTTCTAGGAATAAGGTTCAGAAAGTGTTTTAAGTTCAGGCTGCAATAAGCACTGGAAGACTACCATAAACTGGCCCTGTTCCCGGCGCGTAGAGGGTGGTGGTCTTCCATTCCTGGACCACAGCAGGAGTTAATCCCCTCCCCACAGAACCTGGCTTGATACTTTACCTCCCTTCCCGCTGCCTTCTCCATGGCTTTGACCATCTGCAGGACAGAGTAGCCAACACCAGTCCCAAGGTTGTATATCTATAAAGAAGACATGCTTCTCTTACATTTATGTTTGTTATTTCTATAGCACCTTAAAAGAACACAAGCACACAAAATAAGCATTAGCATATATGTGACTAGTGAAATGAGAATAAAATTACGCTCACGACAAAGTACCCTTAGTTTGTCAAATACGTGCGAGCCAAAGATGATACCAGTCCTGACCAGTGTTCCCTCTAAGCTGAGTTAGTGTGAGCTAGCTCACCGTTTTTTAGCCTCTGGCTCACACATTTTTGTCTTCGCTCAGGAAGAATGGCTCCAGAGCAAACTAACTTATTCAGTAGCCAAATCGCTGGCTCACAACTTTAATGCTGGCAGCTCACAAAGTAGAATTTTTGCTCACAAGACTCCATAGCTTAGAGGGAACATTGGTCCTGACTCCATCGTACTAAGCACATCTTATGCACAAACGCCTTTGGTGTAAAAGAACTTCCCAGATCTTGAAGACAGGAATATGGTAGGAAGTCAGTCAACCAAAGGAGGGTCTGCTATCTATCAGGCAGCACATCGTTCTGCTCAAAATTGTGTGTCATCCAAAACATGTTGGAGCTTTTTACCTACCTTGCAGCCACAATTCTCCTTGAGTTTCTTCAGTGCTGCAATATGGCCCTTGGCCAGATCCACCACGTGGATGTAATCTCTAATGCCTGCCAAAGAACAAGGAAGCCCGTCAGCTAGTATTGTAGCTGCCCAGTCTCACACCCCTAGTTTATTGTCAGGCAAAAAAGGTAAAGGTTCCCTTGCTTGAAAGCCAGTCGAGTTCGACTCTAGGGTTGCAGTGCTCATCTCCGTTTCAAAGCCGAAGAGCCAGCGCTGTCCGAAGACGTTTCCGTGGTCATGTGGCCGGCATGACTAAACACCAAGGTGCACGGAACACTGTTATCTTCCCACCGAAGTGGTACCTATTTATCTACTTGCAATTTCTTGCTTTCGAACTGCTAGGTTGGCAGGAGCTGGAACTAGAGACGGGAGCTCACTCCGTCATGCGGCAACTCGGGTCTCGAACTGCTGAACTACCGACCTTCCACAGCCTGCAGTTCAGCGTCTTAACCACTTGAGCCACCGCAGCTCAAGTGTCAGGACAGAGTTTAAATATGAGGTGACCTGTCCAAAAGGTTTTGGGGGCATGAGGGATGCGGGCTTCTGTTCTGTCTAGGAAGCACCTCCACTCCCACTGCTCTCTCCTCCAGTCTGTCCCTCCTACTAAGCTGTGGGCAGGGAAGGAAGCTCTTTTTTTCCTGGCTGGGCACCTTTTGCTGCTAATTTTCATGGGCCACCGAGGACCCCCCTTCCAGCACTTGTTTGCTCTCTCTGACCAGCCAACACATTTTAATTTTGTTTTGCACCAAATATGTATGTGACATGCACAGATATTGCTCCCCTCGAGCCCTCCCCTCCAGCAGGCTGTGATGGACTGAAGCAGAAGAGACCGCTTCCCCTTCCTTCCCCAGGCAGCTCCAGAACCTGTTCAGCAGCTTTGGAAGGCAGGATGGGGAGGTGGAGGTGAGCCTCCAGCTCCTTTGGAAAGAAAGCTACTCTCATTTGGGTCCTTCCATGGTGCTCTTCTCACACACACACCCCCGGCCAGTGTTCCCTCTAAGCTGAGTTAGTGTGAGCTAGCTCACAGTTTTTTAGCCTCCGGCTCACACACTTTTGTCTTTGCTCAGGAAGGAGGGCTCCAGAGCAAACTAATTTCTGCAGCAGCCAAATGGCTCGCTCACAACTTTGATGCCAGTTGCTCACAAAGTAGAAGTTTTGCTCACAAGGCTCCACAGCTTAGAGGGGAACGTTGCCCCGGCCCACTCTGTTCTGCTGCCTTCTACACCCTAGACTCCCTTGGTGGGTCTCCCATCCCAGTACTAACCAGGGCCAACACTGCTCAGCTTCTGCAGCCTGACAAGATTGAGCTAGCCTGGGCCATCCAGGTCAGCTATGCCCAGTTCACAGCTACCCTGCAAGAGTGATTACTCAATAGCAACAGTAATAGTTCAAGCAATGGGGGGGACGGGGAAACTGCTTCCCCCACAGCTTCCCCCCCCCCCTCCACTCAGTCCTCCAAGCAGGAGAGCCTGCCCTTTTCCTTTTATCCAGGAACTGCGCCTGCCCATGACAAAAGCCAAGCTTCAGTGTCCTACACGAAACTGTAACTTATAGAGCTAGTAAGTGCTTAATATACTGTCAGGTTCCCTGTGCATTTTGTGTTTTACAGCTCGCTTGCCATTGAGAGAGGAGGTTCCTCTCTCTCTCTTTGATGTGCCCGGGGCTTGTCACCTTAGCGGGGCCAAATGTCCTGGCTTCTCAAATGTCTGTGATCCTGTTTTCTTGCTAAGTAGAGCCTACGTGCCTGGGGTGGGGGGTGGGGGAGCTGTTAGTTTGCAATGGGGGGTGGGGGCTGAAGGACTGATGGTCCACAATCCAAGAGACTCTGAGAAAGGCAAAAGAGGACTACAAAAAACAAGCGGATAAAGGGAGATGTCCTGAATGGGATTTGAATCCTGGGGACTCTTTGTACCTTTTGACAAAGAATTTGAAGGGGATCAAACTGGGGAGGAAATTGGGGTGGAAGTATATTGGCTTATTCAAGGTGTTGAAGGTTTTGAACAAGGTGGCTGTGGTACTTCAGTTACCCAAGAATCTGAGGCATATTCACCATGTGTTTCATTTCAGTCTATTAAAAAAGGATCCCGGCCCGATGTCCAGCTGCTCCACCACCTCTGATGACTGATGATGAACCCCACCATGAAGTGGAAGAGATCCTTGATTCTAAGTTGATACGGAACAAACTGTACTATTTGATTAAATGGAAGGACTCTGAGGAATTGCATAATGAGTGGGTGAAATGTAAACATGTTAGAGCTCCCTCTTTAACCTGGGCATTCCATAACAAATATCCTCACAAACCAAAGGGGTAGGAGGTCTGGGGGGGGGGTATGTCAGGCTCCCAGGCTCCCTGTGCATTTTGCAGTTTAGAGCTCACCTGCCATTGACAGAGGAGGCTCCTCTCTCTCTCTCTCTTTTTTGGCCCCCCGAAGGGGATTTTGTAATTGTATTTTCTATAAACTACAAAGAAAATAGGAAAGGGAATCTAATATCTACGGGAGAAAGGAAAGTTAACCACTAAAAACCCAATTAGTGAAGATCATTACATAAGCTTATAAGTCTAATCTATTGTTAATACAATGAGCTTGAATGTTTAAATGTAGCCAATATTCCCCCAAACCCGATATCAATTACTGTTTAAGGCAATCACAAAAGCATAAAACTTAAATGTAGCTTCTTAAAGGTGGAATTCAGAGTTCCTCTGCATCTCATTTCTTGGTGTTTCTTTTCCTCAAATCATAATTTCTTTTGGGGGCCGCAGCCCCCAACTCCGAATCAGAGTCCTCCTCGGTGGTTGAAGAAGAGTTTTCACCGCTTTCTTTACCCTGGTCTTCATCTTTGTCGTCTTTTCTGGACCTTCCCAGTTGCTGCTTCAAGAACTCATTTGCTTTCTTAACAGAGTCAATTCTTCCTTTTTTTATTTATTCTGAAGAGTAGGCCTTCGGGAACCAACCATTTGTACTGTATGTTGTTTGTAAAAACAATGCCAAGTCTTTGCATTTCTTCCTCTTCTTTCTAATTTCAAATGGAATGTCTTTTAGTATTTGTATGGTATTACCGTTGATTTTCAGGGGTATTCCTGATGTTGTTTTCAAGATTTGGTCCCTCACATGTCTTTTAAAGAATCTAACCACTATTTCTCCAGGCAGATTATTAATATATTCCGAATATGATCTATAGACCACATCCATTTTGCTTTGAAGATATTCCGTTTTCAAATCTGCCACTGGTGCAAGTAGATCACCCAATACTTGTTTTAGATTCTCTTCGTTTTTCAGTTCCAGTTGTTGTGCAGCAAAGTTCTGCTTCAAAGTAGTCAATTGCTGATTGATGTTTGTCATCTGGTCCAGCAGAGGGCGCAATGATTCAGCTAACAGCTGTGAAAGCTCGTTGGTAGCTTCTGGTCTCAGGCTTCTACTTTCTGAAGGAGGCTTGAGTTGCGATGGTTTCTCTATCTTGCCTCTCCACCCCGCCATTTTTGAGGATTGTTTACTTTTAGAAAAGTTTGCCAAAGTCTCTGTTTTCCACCAGAACACTTTGCTGCGCTCTTGTGTGCTTCTTAAATCAGTTCTAAGGCTTTTACGTCTGGTGCCCTCTTTTTAAAATGATCTGCTTGGATATTGCGTCTGGGAGTTCCCTCCCCCACTCGCTTAAATCAGAGGGGCTTTCTAGCCGAAACTTGGTGTTTTGCTTTCACCATGACTCACAGTTCATCGTTGGTCCTAGGACCCGCCTCAGGTACATGTAAAACGCCTGATCTTCACATGCTTGTCCCGGTCAGCGACTCTAGAGCCATACGGCCGCACAGCGGCAGGAACTTCAGGGCGGAGGGAAGCTTTGATTCCCCGGCATCGAGCCGGAAAAGAGGCAATCCCTCAAAAGCCCCATGGCTAGGAGCCCAAACACAAGGGCTCCGGGGGGGGGGGTAGCGGACAATCGCACCCCCTCCTATCCGCTGGCGTTCGGATTGCAACCCTGGGAGCTCACCAGGGTCACATCCGCCATCGTGCCACCAAAAACCGGAAGTCCCCCTCTCTCTCTTTGATGTGCACCTTAGTGGTGCCAAATGTCCTGGCTTCTCAAATGTCTGTGATCCTGTTTTCCTTGCTATGTAGAGGCTACGTGCCTATGGGGGGAGAACTGACTGTTAGTTCTGGTGGGCAAATACTGTGGGGTGATTGGGTCCTGATCTTTAGTGCCTTTACTTGAATCCACTATATCTGCAACCTTCACGCATTCAACTTCAGTCCTAACAATAGATGTGTCCAGGATGGTATCTATCAATTGTCTCAATAAAGTTAGCTTTCTTCAAACTGACTGGTTTTGAGAACTGATTTAACCAGTATCCTAGCATATACCCAGGGGGATGCCAAAAGCTATGCCCTCAGCTCCCCCCCCCCCCAGTTTGCTTCCACACTAGCTCTTTAGTTCCCCAACTGTTTGGGGGTTTAGGATTCCAAGTGGTAAACTTGTGTTTGACCTTGCAGGCTAATAAAGTGCCCCTTCTTTCTCCCCACTGGGGACCTAAAGCTGCTTACATCCTCCTCCTCCATTTTATCATCACAACAACCCTGTGGGGTAGGTTAGGCTGAGAGCATATGACTAGCCCAAGGTCACCCAGCAAGCGTCTACAGCAGAACAGGGATTAACACCTGGGTGTCTCAGATTCTAGTCCGGCCCTCTAAGCACTACAGCAAGTTACTTCTCAAAGGCAAAGGTGTGTGTGTGTGTTAGAGAAAAAGACAGACAGCTAAGTGGACCACTGCGCCTTGAAAGCTTTAAAGCTCTTAAAACCAAGCTGCTGTTCAGCAACTCACCTGTCCCATCCAGTGTTTTATAATCATTCCCAAACACACTCAGGAACTCCCTGCGTCCCACTGCCACCTGGAACAGACGGGAAGGAATTATTAAAATCATCTTGAGACAACTGAGGGAGCAGAGTCAACTCATCCTGTGGGCTTGTACCTGGGCAACGTAAGGCATCAGGTTGTTTGGGATGCCCTGGGGATCCTCTCCTATCCTGCCCGACTCATGGGCTCCAATAGGGTTGAAATACCGCAGAAGAACAGCATTCCAGTCCTGGGAACAGAAGTGTGGCAATCTGGTTAGAAAACTCTGGTCTTGTGGGGGGGACGGGGACGGACGACTGAGTTTCAAGGGTGCAGGGCAACTTCCTTACCGGCTCCGCCTTGCACAAATCGCGGATCATCTCTTCGATGAAGTACTTGGACTTGCCATAGGGATTGGTGCAGCCACCGACAGGATGTTTTTCATCGAGGGGGAGGTAGCTGGGGTCCCCATAGACCGTGGCTGAGCTGCTGAACACCAAATTCTTGACCCCGTGTGCTTTCATAGTCTGGGGAGAGAGGGGGTGTGGAAATGCAGACTCCCTAGATTCTCCTTCTGCCCTCACACACCATTGTTGTCCTCGCCCCATCCTCCACAGAGCAGTCAGGGCAACATATATAGTTCTCCTCTTTGTTTTTTACTCATATCACCCCTATGAGGAGGGCTAGGCTAAGAGACAGTGACTGGACCAAACGTTTCATGGCTGAGGGGGGAACCTGAACGCAGGTCTTGCTTACGCTAACCACTGCACCACACTGGTTCTCTTGAGCAGGCCATTATGGAAATGGGTTCACAAGCAGTGGCAGACTGTTCTGCTGGGGACAAGGCCTCGGAGTCTGAGTCAGCCCCCCCCCCATCCCACCCCACCATAAGGGTAGGGGTGAGCAAGTTGCATCCTAGACCAGGGATGGTCAACACAACGGATGACCCACAGTGGGGTATCTAGCCACCATCCAAGTCCCCCCCCCCAGGTCTCATGCTTGGGCCAGAGAGGCTGTGGTCCAGTGGCTGCCTGCAGAAGTCCCCGGCTTTAATCTCTGGCATCTCCAGCTACAAGGTCTTGGGAAAGGCATTTCTTCATCTGAGGTCATCTGAGGTCATCTGAGGTCGCCAGTCAGAGGAGACAGTCCTGAGCTGGTCTAAGGCAGTTTTCTACATTTGTATTGCAAGGGGAGGCTAAGCGCAGTGGTACAGGACACACTTGGCACTTGAAGATCCCACGTTCAAATTCTGAGATCTCTAGTTAAGAGATGACAGGAATCATCGTTCCCTGCCACAACTCTCCAAACCTATGTCAGAGTACACAACAGCCCTGTTGGACCAGATCCAGTGGTCCACCTAGTCCAGCATCCTGTTTCACTCAGTAGACAACTGCTTACTCTGGTGGCCAAGGACTCCCCATGATACTTCCTCCCAGAATTCGTATTCAGAAGTTTGCTCCCTTTAGTCACCATGCCTAGTAGCCATTAATGGATATCTCCTCCATGAATCTATCTAATCCCCTTTTTAGACAGGATACCAGGCTATTTGGTACATTTTTATCCTGCCCCTTGTCCAAGGACCTCAGGGCACCATTCTCCCCTCATCCACTTTATCCTCACAGCCAGGGGTCATTTTGGGGGGGGGGACGCGGGGGGACGCCATCCCCCCGGGTGAGGTGCGGGAGGGCGGGGCCTGGAGCTCCCTGCTGGTGCCCGCTGGAGGTCGCCGCCGGCTGTGGGGAGGACACACTTCCGGTGATGTCAGGGGGTGTGGCATATGCTAATGAGTTATGCTAATGAGTCCCCCTAGCTCTTTTTCTACGAAATGACCCCTAGGCTCAGAGAAAGAGACATGCCCATGGCCACCCACCCAGCTTCCACTGCAGACGTGGGGATTCAAACCTAGTTCTCCCAGATTCTAGTCCAACACTAACCACAGTGGCTCTGTAGATGGGCCAATGGTCCGATTTGGTATCAGAGAGCTTCTGATGTTTGTAGACTTTGGGCAGCAGGTATCCTTAAGCATCTTTGCTTCTGTCCCAGCCAGCATCCCTTGCAACTATAAGCGAGAGGAGCTGCTTCTTTCTAGAATATCAGCTCTCATCGTTACGCTTAGGGGGGATTCTGACTTAGAGGCGTTCAGTCATAATCCCACAGATGGTAGCTTCGCCCCATTGGCTCCTCAGCCAAGCACATACACCAAATGTCTGAAACCGCGGTTCCTCTCGTACTGAGCAGGATTACTATGGCAACAACACATCATCATCAGGACTCCTGCTCAGATCAGAAATCATTTCCAACACCCCTGCAAGGCATCACTTCTGACATGGCCAGCATCCTACATCAAGGGGCCAGCAGCCTCCGGGGAGTCCTCTCTGACTTCACAGGGGTGCATGCTGGGTCAGATGCAGCACTTTGCATAAAGGTTATCAGCACACCTGGCAGGTGCACACACATACAGGGACCAGCTGCTTTGGGCCAAATCCAGCTGCAGTAACACTGTGGCCAGGGAATTGCGCGTGCGCACGTGCATGGGGGGAGAATCAAACTCCTCACACTGGAGAAGGTGGCTGTCCCTGGCCTAGACTGATGCAGAGACATTTTCTTCCTCTTCCAGTATGCCTGGACCTTCCTTTCTCTCAAGATTCATGCCCTGTGCGAATGGGACAAACACACATTCTCATCCCGGGGATTTTTAGCATGGGTCAGAGAGATTCATGTGCATGGGGGGGCTCAAGGCAACCTACTGCTTACCTCCAGCAAGTGGATGGTCCCAGTGAGGTTCACCTTGTAGTACTCTAGTGGCTTCTCGACCGACTCTCCGACTGCTTTGAGGCCTGCAAAATGCATCACGGCTGAGAAGCAATGCTGTTAAGGAAAAGCAGAAGGAAGGGGCATTTTTAAGGACCTCTGTGCCAAAGTGGATTCCTGCAAGCTGTTCTTCCAGAGAGTTGGCTATGGCAGCCATGCTAGGAAGAGCAACTGCAATGTAGTGGGAATGTCTTTGTTGCAGTAAAGGAGCCAGATGATACTCCAGCACCATCTGCAGTTGGACTGCTTTCGGCCAAGTCTCCTCTCCCATGTCCTGTTGCAGATGCAACCTCACAGGGCCAGCCCAGACGTGATGCCCAGACGTTTCATGAGTGCAGCTCTTGGGGGTTATATTTCCCTTTTTAACTGTGTATGTGCATGGGCCCTGCGTGCACTTGCTATTTGGGGGGAGGGTACCCACTGGGAGCTCCGTTCACATGAACACCAAGGGATTATAAAAGCCCTCCGCCCCACCCCAAAGCTGAGCACAGGCAAGAAACAGGAGCTCTTCTGTCCCCTACAAAGAGACTCCAGCATGGCCCAAGCTCACTATGGCTATAGACATTGGAAACCTCCAGCAAGGGGGCAAGTCCCTGGCACTGTCCCACGGTATGAGTAAAAACTGACCGGGGGGGTGTGTGAAGAAGGAAGCAGGGCCCCCATACCCATCATTTTTTTTTAAATAAATTTTTTTATTAATTTTTCTAAAATAACAATCAACAAAAACATTTCAAACACAAACCATAACCTAAACTGTTACATATTACATATTCATAAAGCTTTGAAAGCCCAATACAAAATATTCATCTGAAGTTTTTTCTAATACATGTATCACAAACAGATCTTCTCAATAACATTTACAGAGCCCATTCTTTTTGTATAAATGCATAATATTGTGAATTTTGTGCTGTATTTATATTTTCTAATATAAATTCCAAGTTTTCCAAAACGGGACGCCATCTGCCGAAGAAATCCAGAGATTTAGTATAGTCTTCTAAGCCAGAAAGCCTTTCTGAAATTTTGTCCATTAGGAAATGTTCCCATATTTTAGAATACCATAATTTTATTGGTATCGATTTACTGCTCTTCCAAGTCTGTGCTATTGTTGTTTGTGCGGCTGCTATCAATATTGTAAGCAATTCTTTGGAATATAATGGAATGGAAATATCGTGCCAATTGTGTAGTAATAAAATCTCTGGCTTTCTTGGCCCCCATACCCATCATGACAGAGACAGCACAGTTGGGGCCAGGCCTTCTCACCTTCTGGAAGAGCTCCTGGAGGCCAGCTTCATCGAGAACGTCCAGCTCCTGGAAAAGGATCTCCTTTCCCACGATCTCCTGCACCCGCCGAATGCTCTCGGGCAATGCCTTGCCCCCTGGGGGAGGAGAGTCTGCTTTTGACACCATGGCAGACACCTGGCCTCATGGCCGGTCCACTGATGCTTTTTGGACAAGGCCCCGGAGTCTGAGTTAGCCCCCCCCAATCCCATCCCACCATAAGGGTAAGGGGTGAGCAAGTTGCAACTAACACCCCAGGAACTGAAATCTGGCACTTGGGGACAGACACGTCAGGCCTCCAGACAAGTCCCTGAGCCCCAAGGACTCTCTTCCTGCCACTTTATTCCTTCCTTTGTGTGCAAGCAGAGTTTTGTTTAGACAAGGAAAAAGCATTCACCCACAATCCACTTTAATCCAGTTTAATCAAGGAGATGCCATGCAAGTGTGAGGTCCCATGGCTGGCATCAGGTTTAAATCAAGCCTGCCTCTCAGGGTGGGACTAGTGACACTGGCCATTTCCTGACCCTTTTAACCTTCTTTTAAATACGTGCAATTCAGCCGCTGGGGCTGTGATCTAAAACAGCAAGGGTTTGCACAGCACCCAATTGGGGGGGAAAGTTAAAACTCGTTTTCAGTTATGGATCTGTATCAGAAAAGCCACACTAATGCCAAAACTGACCCCTGAGCTCTAAGAATGCATTTAGTAACATTATTTATTTGCTTGTACAGAAACAGTCTCTGTTTGCTATGTTTTGGAATAGTGAATTCCATTATTGAGTTCAATCTTATGAAAAGAATAGCATTACCAACACTTTCAAGATTGTATCTAAAGAGAACACATTGCCATAAGCTAACTTGGCGGTGCCAAGCTGAGATCACTATGGCCAGATCTCCCTGATCTAGACACTGCAGAGTATGGCTCAGTCCCTGCCCCTTACCTCGGATGGCATTGTGAAAATTATCAATGACCACAGGACTGTAGCCCGCCTCGACCAGTTCCAGCACACAATGACTCCCTATGTAGCCAGCTCCACCTGTCACGAGGACCTTCTCTGACATCTTACCTGGAACGACACAAAGAAGCCTCATGAGAGGGCCCCAATCCCTCTTCTAACAGCCAAAGGAACCCTAAAGAGAACTAAGTGCAGTGAAGTTCCCTGCTGAGGTGGACCTGAATGGCATGCATTCCTTTCTATAGTATACCTCCTTTAGCACTGTAATTGTGTTCCTGAAAAGAGAAAGCTGAGTGAAACGATGGTATATCAAGGTATCAATAATGGGAATGTCTGTCACTTTTGGCACTGACCATATTTACTTCTGGCAGGACTGATTATGTTATAGAACTGCTCCCCCAGGCCCCCCATTTTATTTTTTATTTTTTTTTAATTATACCCAGGAAAAAGAGTGTTCAAATGAAAAAGCTCTATAGAAAAGAGAAAGCATGGTGAGGTGGCTAGAATGCCAATTAACAGGCACTCATAGGCTTGTAGACAAAGTGAAGTTATATGAAGAGCAAAATTATATAAAATACAAAACCAACCCCCCCAAGTTAAATATCCCTATAGTCTCCAAAATTACAGGGTACAGCGGTGCCCTGGGTACAGTATAGGATGTGGGAGGTCTGTGTTCAGATCCCTGCTCAGCCACAAAGTGAACATGCAAGCCATAGACAACTTAGTTACCTTGATAGCAACTTTGCAAGACAGATAACAAGTCAGCTTTCGGTGCTGAAAAGTGACATATGAAAGGCACTGGTAGGGGGAACCTAATGTGTTTTAGCCCCCTCCAAAAACATATATTTGAGAAGGAAAACTGCAGATCTCTCTCTCATCCTGTGGGCTTGGAAATGTTTCTATTTATCTTTGTAGGTTCTGTATAGAACAGATTAAGTCCTCGCCCAGGTGGTGGTAGGGGGCATACAGTTGGGAAATGAAAGTATCCAGTAGATGTCATGACAAGAATAAATGTCATGAAAGGGTTAATGCAAAGAACAAGGATTTAAAAAAAAAAATTAGCGGCAGCTACTAGGCGACACAAAATAGGTAGTTCAGAAGGGGCTCTGAAGGTGCATAAAAGCATTAAGAGCAAGGGTGGAGGGGGGGTGGTCCAGTGTACAGAGTAGCATAGTGGAAGGATCAAAAAGGATTTAATTTGACCAAAGGGGCGGCTTGCCCAATAAAGGTATTTCAGCATCCTTCTCTGAGTGTTCAGCTTTATTTATTTTTTTAAGTTTCTAGTCTTTAGGGAAAAGGTGATAAGGTGCTGGGGCTGGATTCTGCAAATCTGTCCTGTGAGGTCTTTTTCCCCAGTGCAAGAAATGCAGAGGCTTCGTGCACTGGGCTGCTGTTGATGGAGTGGGTCCAAGGGATCTAATCCTTTCAGGTGATTACGGAGCACTTGTTTAATAACGTTTTTTTAAAAACTAAGTTTTCAACCATACTTGCAACCCCCCAAATTCAGACACTCTGTTTCACATTGATTTTCAGTAGTGCCCCACTCAGCGTACCCAGAGACCACAGCATCATCCCAAAGTTCCTGGTTATGGGTCTGCTATCCACCCCCACCCCCCAATTCCTTCTATGCTTGAAACTGGCTGGCAAGGACAATTCCAGAGGAGTGGCCATGTTGATGTTGGGGGGCAGGTGGAGAAGTGTGGTGGCACCTTAAAGACTGAACACATTTATTCCAATGTGAGCTTCCATGAGACAGAGAGCATGTGCAGAATGCTCCCTCTGACCATGTGCAGAATGCCCACAACTGAATCACCAAAACCAACTCTTAACAAATTTAGGCAGGTCTGAATTCTCAGAGCTCTCAAACTAAGCAAGGAGAAGAAAACTCACTGCCATGGTCCACCCACCCTTTAAACTATCCTTCATTCAAACATATACATGAAATACCTCTACATTTAATTAAAATTAAAAGCACAGGAATAAAAATTACCTTCCTTTAGGTTCTGCTGCCCACTAAAAGCATCCAGAGGAACAGGCTCTACAAGGGCTCTGACCCGGAGGGCAAGCCAAGTCACTGTGAAGACCCACCCGTTCTGCCCAGGAAGAAGCAGCAGCCGGCACAGAGAGCCACCTGGAAAGCACACTGCCCCCGCCTGCCAGGGCACAGCCCTTCCCCACCCTGCAGGCTGGTGAGCTGCCTGCCTCAGCCCTCCTGGATGTCTTTCCTGGGCAAGATGAAGGAGGTTTCTGTCCTCCTGCTCTCCAGAGAGCGAGGCAAGGCCTTAACAGGAAGCAATGGTCCAGGGTTTCCTCCCCAAATGGGGATTTGGTGGAGAACAAGACACCACTTCTTCTCAAACCTGCCTGGAACAGAAGCTGTCAGAATAGCAGCCAGGCAGAGGATGACCAAGCAACCACTTGCCCCCTCCAAAGGCCAAAACAAACATTTGTGAGAGAGAGAGAGAGAGAGAGAAAGAAAGAGAGAGAAAGAGAGAGAAAGAGAGAGAAAGAGAGAGAAAGAGAGAGAAAGAGAGAGAAAGAGAGAGAAAGAGAGAGAAAGAGAGAGAAAGAGAGAAAGAGAAAGAGAAAGAGAAAGAGAAAGAGAAAGAGAGAAAGAAAGAGAGAAAGAGAGAAAGAAAGAGAGAAAGAGGGAGGGAGGGAGGGAAACCCATTCAGCTTGGACCAGGACTACGGTCGGTGACCAACCTCCAGGTGGAACCTGGAGACCTCCCAGAATTACAGCTGACCTCCAGATGATAGAGATCCGTTCCCCTGGAGAAAATGCCAGCATTATAGCATGCTGAGATCTCTCCCCTCCCCAGACTCCACCCCTAGATCTCCAGGAATTTCCCAACATGGGGCTGACAACCCTAATTTGGGCTTAAATCCCACCTTAGCCATGTTCAGCCACAGTTGTGGACATCTGCTACCTCTGTCTCACTTCCCCCCCTCATCTAGTCTATAAAATGGGAATATTGGTGTTCTCTCACAACAGTGCTGGGTGGATGAATGAGGTAAGACCTTGTTAACCACCTTCAGATGTGAAAGTAGGCAGGGTAGGGGCCAATTAGAGTTGCCAGCTCTGGGTTGAGAAATACCTGGAGATTTTTGGGGTGGAGCCTGAGAAGAGTGGTGTTTAGGGAGGGGAGGGACGTTAATGGGATATAAGGCCATAGAGGCCACCTTCCAAAGCAGCCATTTTCTCCTGGAGATCAGTTGTAATAGTGGAAGATCTCCAGTCACCACCTGAAGATTGGCAACCCTCGGGCCAGTACAGGATAGGGGCAGGGAGGTAAAAAATTCCACAGACCTATTCCATTTGCAGGACCTTCATCTGACCCAAGATGCTCTTGTAATGGGGAAGGCTCTTTGGAATAGAAAAAAGTCCCACTGCTACAGAAATGGACACTATACTCCATGTATTCCTCAGCCGTAATGAGGTCAATTGGCCTGTGGAGTCCCATGCCTCCTCCCACTTGTAATTTTTTAAATAAAAAGCAACATGTACACTGATAGCGTTGGGGTTATTTTTACCCCAATTGCACTTTTATGGCGAAATAGACAAAATACAGGGTGAAACTGATAATGATTATTATCTTATATTCCCCTTGCCCCTGTGGTTTGCTTTTGTGTTCTTCTACTGCCAAAGGGAAATACTGAACAGGTTGATTTTTTTTTCTTGGCAGCTAACAGAATGCTTGATGCAACCCCAAGCTTTTGTTGTTGTTTTTAAATCAAAGACACAATAAAAACAAAACAAGTGTACTTTACTAATTAAGGATGTGTAGAGCCAACCCCACCCCCCAAATCACAGATTTAGTGGTCCATTGACCCTATGCATAGAAACACCCTGGATTAGTAAAATACATTTTTTTTGTTCAGGCAAAGGGTAAGAACGTTTATTAGGGTGCTGCAGTGTCTTAGAGGTTAAGATGCTGAGCTGCAGACCGGGGCAGTTCGAGACCCTAGAGCTGCGTGATGGAGTGAGCTCCCATCTCTGGCCCCAGCTCCTGCCAACCTAGCAGTTCATTCTCAGAATAGAACAGCTAAAACATAAAATATGATCAGCAGCTTTTATTATCTAGATAAATACGGTGTGTGTGCATGTGTGTGTGTGCAGTGGGGTGACAGGTAAGTAGTGCTCTGGCAATCAGAATCCACACATAGCTCCCACACAGAGACTTGGAAGAAGTTGTAACCTAAAAAACTTCAGTGCACACACTGTGAGTGTGCTAGCCAAATTTTTAAATGGCATGTCCAAAATCTCCACCCCCAAAGGTATAAAGGGGACAGCAATTTACTGGGGTTGGGTACGATAAAACAGGGCCGTCCTCTATCGAACTGAGAAAGTCTGAACAAAAGGGATTTCTTCTCCAGTTCAAGCCCTGACTTTGCATTGTAATAAAGTTGTCCAACAGACATTTGCTTCTGCAACTACATTTGACCTAATTCAAAACAATGATTTTTTTTTTTCAAAAAAAGAGTTATTAGCCAGAACAGGAGCCCAAAGTGACTTTCAGCTACTACAAAACTTTTCCCCTCCCATTTCTCACTGTCTGGTCAGATCCCCACCCCTAAATACTAAGCCTGGATCCAAACCCACAGTTCAATCCATTTTTTGCTGGCTTTAGACAACCTCTGCTGAATAATTATTAACGTGAGTGCTTTTATTGCTAAGATAAAGAGGAAAAAACTGGTGATTTTCTGCCAACAAAAAGATCTCTGGCGATTACTGCCGATCAAAATCAGCAACAGCGCTGTTTTCTCACCCTTCCCCAGTAGGGTTGCCAGCTTTTAATTTCCCCCATATTGTGGGTCCTGCATTTCCTGGCACATAGGCATTTAGCAGACCAACTTTCCCTGGCCTGGAGAACAAAAGCACTATGGAAAATTTCACTCAGGTAAGGTTGCCAACCTCCAGATGGGGCCTGGAAATCTGGAATTACAACGATCTCCAGGCGAAAGAGATCAGTTTCCCTGGAGGAAATGGCAGCTTTGGAGGCTGGACTCTGGCATTATACCCTAATGAGGCCCCTCTCCAAATCCCAGCCCCCAGGGTCCACCCCCCAAATCTCCAGGAATTTCCCAATCCAGACTTGGCAACCCTACTTCTGTTGGATATTGTAACTCTGCATGCAAGAGGATCTGGGAGGGAAAAGGTTAAGAGAATTCTCTCTCTCTCTCTGGTACACTTGGCAATGGGCCCCACTCTCTCAGCGGCTGATATGGAGCCTCTTTGGCTGTTGCTTGTCTTCTGTTTCATTTTATACAGGACCTCTCTTCTTTTATTTCTCTTACATAGGCTTGGAGCTGTAGCAAGTTAACCTTTTTGAACTTAATCTGTTCACAATAAGTTAAATGTACCTACATGAAAGGGGGTTTTTTTGGTAAATAAAAATTCTTTCTCTCTTTACCATTGGAGTCAGGTCATCTTTGTAATTTGTTTGAATAGCATTTTTCCTTAACCGGGAAATATGGAGGATTGTGGATACTGCGTAAAACTTTTGTGCTTTCAAGGAAAATGATTTTTTTTTTAACATCTAACCCAATAACTTCACCTAATTTTGTACATCAACCTGTTTAAAAAAAAAAAAAAAGGGAGCAAGGCCCATCCAAATGCTGGCAACCGGATTCCAGCATTATTTGTTTGTTTGGGGGGGGGGGGAGAGAACAGACGTCAGCACCAGTTCAGTTCATTTCATTTCCTGCTTGACCAGTGTGCGTGAGCAGAGCCATGTGATACAGGAATGGACAGTGACATGGCCAGAAGCCAGCAGGATGTAGAGGTGTCAGTGTTCCAGATTTCTGACTGGAGACAAAACAGGGAAGGGAATGAATGAATTTAACTTCCCCCTGCAGGACAGCAAGTACAATATTAACCAACTGGGCCTGCACAGCCTAAGACACAGGTTTATTCTGATATGAGCCTTTTCCCCCTGGAACTTATAGCCTGTTTTCTAAGAGGACTAAGAATATGGCAGGATTGTGTAAAAACTGACTCACAGCCACATCATCAGCACCATGCCACATGGCTTTGCTGGCACACTGTACATGGCCACTCCTCTGGGACCTTGAAGTGCCAACAAAGGCAAAAAAGAACTACAACCTGTTAATGACATGTGGGTGTGGAAAAGTCAATTCATACAGACCGTGCCAAGCAGGAAAGGAAAAAGAAGAAAGCCCCATATACTGATTCAGCCCTCAGTCAGTGAACTGCCTGTGCAAATCTTCAGTTTTCTTCAACCCTATTGTTGCTCCCTGTTATACACACACACACACACCTGCCAATATTCAAAGGTCTGGAAGATCCTTCAATCCTAACATCAAAAATCCCTACTATGCCACCTGGAATTGTGTATATATGTATAGTTGCATAGCATATGAATAGATGGGAGACCACCAAGAAAGACTGGGCTCCTACGCAGAGGAAGACAATGGCAGACTGCTTCTGCTCATCTCTTGCATTGAAAACTCCACGAGGTGGAACTTTATGGAGTCACCATCAATGTTCCCTCTAAGCTGTGGAGTCTTGTGAGCAAAAATTCTACTTTGTGAGCTACTGGCATTAAAGTTGTGAGCGAGCAAGTTGGCTACTGCATAAATCAGTCTGCTCTTGAGTCATCCTTCCTGAGCTAAGACAAAAATCTGTGAGCTGGAGGCTAAAAAGCTGTAGCTAGCTCACACTAACTCAGCTTAGAGGGAACACTGGTCACCATGAGTTGGTTGTTACTCAGTGGCAAGATTTTACCTTCACAACTGCAAAAACATTTCATTAAGTGAGGATTAGCCCCAATCAGTGGAAAGCAGGGACATGCAAGTGGACACGGCACACAACTTGGAGGGGTAAGTGAGCCTCTGGGGAAGTTGCGAGCCAGCAGGTCACGGCTAGCAGAGGAAAGAATGGAATTCATGCCTAGAACTCTACCACGAAGAGAGGCCTGCACTGGGGTCCTCCTATCCATTTTTTAAAACTAGTTTTGTCCCTGTGCTTTTAAAGACAGCCTTTCAAATAAATTCACCAGAGTTACTAGCCCACCAAATAAATAAATAAAAATCACAAGCCCACTACCCTATGCAATAGCAATCATCATTCTCCAGGGCCCCTCCAAAAGGGCGAGAATTCTTCATTATAAAGCCTGTTTTCTTGATCACTTGGAGGCAATTCTAAATCACCACAAGGGACCACATCTATGCAGATGGCAGATAAAACAGCAAACCCTCTACCATGTCACAGACAACAACTGGGATGCTTTGGTTACAGCCCTATTCTCACACAAGATTTATGCCCACCTCAGTGCTCCCACTGAAAGGCAGTAGCTTGCCTTAAAAGGACTGAAAGGCAGAGTTATTCAGAAAGGAAATAGGACCACAGCACTTCAGAACAAACCTCCTGCTGAAACTGTAAGCAGTGCGCTACAAGGCGCTTTAATGCTCATGCTTATACATTCACTTGTGCCAGGGTACCTGAAACATGGGGTAGCACACAATCACCCAAATAGATGAGGATATAGTAGGAACACAGACTCAGCGCTTCAAAAATGACTCTCCTGTTGAAATGGCACCTGATGCGCAACAGAACACCTTCATGCTCATGTGCAGGCATTGCTTTGCACATATGCATTTGCCTCCCCTATTCCTCTGGCCCGAAAGGTCCAGAGGAAAGGGAGTGGAAACCAGGAGATGCAGCATCCCACCAACTCGCATTACCTTTCTGAAGAGTGCACTCCCTAAAATTGCCAGGGGCGGATGGCAGAAGTGTGCAGGCAGTTTGGCACACTGGAAAGGAGCAAAGGAAATTTTTCCCGGCAGAGAGAAGGAAGAGGTGGGAGAGTTTTACCTGTCCCATTGCTATACTCGTATCTGCTGTTAAAAGAACCGGAGCAGAGCCAGTTGGGGGGGAGTTGGCAATCCAATTATACAGCACTCTATCAGAACCTCAGCCTTATTAGCCACCTCCTCCCCACAATGGAAAAAGTGCAAATCACCCCAATTCCCGGGGCGACCACCTCCCCAGAAGCACCCGCGAACGGACACACTTACCGACCGCAAACCCCTATCAAGCAATGAAGGTGCCTTCTGTGGCGCGGCCCCTTTAAGACCTCCGCGTTCTGCCTCCTCCCTTCTCTCCTCCAGGTCCCGCCCACCCCGTAGCATGGCGACACGCAACCGCTTCCCCATAGCAACCTGTCTCTCTTTTCTCGTTCAGCTCCGCCTCCTCGATACGGGACGTTGCAAGAGCCAAACCAAAACGGGACGAAGGAAACGCACAGGGTTGGTGTTCGCTGCGAAGTCCTAAAAACGTTATTAGTGTGTTGAGCACAAATAACGATGAGGAAGAGTCCTTATTTAAAGGAATATACAGAGTGCTCCGGAACAGAATTACGCTGTCATTGGGCAAAGTTTTAGTCCAGTGGCACCTTTAAGACCAACAACGTTTTATTCAAGGTGAAAGCTTTCGTGTGCGCCATAGTTCTAAGTTTTTAGGACTTCTAAGTGTGCGTACACATGAAAACTTTCACCTTGAATGGTTGTTGTTGGTCTTAAGGGTGCCACTGGATTCAAACTTTGTTCCAGACGCTTAAGACCAACATGGTTACCCATCTGAATCTACTGTCATTGAAGTAATTTGAGTTTAGAAGGGTGTGACTCTATTTGGGAATGGATTGCACTGTTAAATTGTTGTTAAATACTGGGTTCTCGACCCATTGCAGTGAATAGCTCTAGTTTATTTAGTGATTTCAGGAACACAACAAGGACCTGCAGCAAGGTTTGACCTCTGCTTATAAAGCCTGCAAACACCCCACACAGAACCACTCCTAAGGATAGGCTATTTACATTACACTACTTATCTATTGGTCTACTCCAGGATCCTGTTAAGCTATTATTCAAGAGTAGCAAGCTCAACCTGTTCCAGGTACACCTTGAGTGTTGACTTAGGTTCAATACATAACAATCATATGAAAATAAAATGTAATTTTTATGAAGTTTTATATATGTACCATCTGCAGATGACCATATAAGAATACAAGAACTATAAAAAATAGGACAAAAGGAAAGAATTTGCATATGTAATTTATTGATTTAGATATTTGCATGCCACTTTCTCCCCGATGGGGACCCCAAGCCACTTACAACATGTTTCCTCCATTTTATCCTTACAGCAGCAACCCTGAGATGTTAGTACAATTTAAATAGAAATACAGCAGTCAGCGCTCAGCTCCTCCAGGGATGGAGAGTCACTCAAGTGTTCACACAAGCAGGCACAATAGACAACGCACTTTCAATTCACTTTCAATGCACTTTGCAATTGGTTATCACTGTGTGAAACAGCAAAATCCACTTGCAGATTATCGCTAAAGTGAATTGAAAGTGCATTTATTACATTTATTGTGTTTATTATTATGTTGTTGTTGTTCAGTCACACAGTCGAGTCCGACTCTTCGCAACCCCTTGGACCAGGTTGGCAGGGTGATGTCTCTACTTTTTATTATGCTGTCTGGGTTTGCCATAGCTTTCCTCCCAAAGAGCAGGCGTCTTTTAATTTCATGGCTGCAGTCACCATCTGCAGTGATCTTGGATCCCAAGAACGTAAAGTCTGTCACTGTTTCCATGACTTCCCCTTCTATTTGCCATGGAGTGGTGGGGCCAGATGCCATGATCTTAGGTTTTTTGATATTGAGTTTCAAGCCAACTTTTGCGCTCTCCTCTTTCACTCTCAGCAAGAGGCTCTTTAGGTCTTCTTCACTTTCTGCCATTAGAGTGGTATCGTCTGCATATCTGAGGTTGTTGATGTTTTCCCCCCAGCAATCTTAATTCCGGTTTGTGATTCATCCAGGCCAGCATTTCGCATGATATACTCTGCATATAAATTAAATAAGCAGGGCAACAATATACATCCTTGTCGTACTCCTTTTCCTCTGCTAAACCAATCAGTTGTTCCATATCTGGTTCTAACTTTCACTTCTTGACCCTTATACAGGTTTCTCAGGAGACATGTGAGATGGTCTGGTACTCCCATCTCTTTAAGGACTTGCCATAGTTTGTTGTGATCCACACAAAGACTTTAGTGCAGTCAATGAGGAAGAAGTAGATGTTTTTCTGTTACTCCCTTGCTTTCTCCATAATCCAGCGAATGTTGGCAATTTGATCTCTAATTCCTCTACCTCTTCGAAACCCAGCTTGTACTTCTGCCAGTTCTCTATCCACGTACTGCTGAAGCCTAGCTTCTAGGACAGGGGTGTCAAACATGCGGCCCAGGGGCTGGGTCAGGCCTGGAGGGCTTCTATCAGGCCCGCAGTGGAACTGGCTGTCTTCTGCTTCTTCTTCCAGTTCTGCTGCTGCTGCATCCTTGTAGGTCTGCAGCTTACAGATGCACATCTGAACAGCATACTCAAGATTGCAACAGCACAGACATTTTGATGTAATAATTCAGAGCAAGCTTGAAATTTGCAATGAGTAGCTCATGATATGAGCCACAGTCAGCTCCAGGTCTTGTTTTTACTGACTGTATAGAGCTTCTCCATCTTTGACTGCACATGCTATAATCAATCTGATTGATTGCCCATCTGGTGGTGTCCATGTGTAGAGTTGCCTCTTAGGTCGTTGGAAGAGGGTGTTTGCTATGACTAGCATGCTCTAAAGTATGAGAGCTGAAATCACTAGTAAGTTTCAGTACTTTTCACTGGCGACAAAGGTGGAATTCTACCTCCCATGAACAACGACCTGGACGAAGATTTGAGCATCGCATCGAGCCCCGGCACCGAGATCGCCGCACGCCACTCTGCTTTGTGCCCCACTTCTCCGGTTGCACCTCACCGCACTGCTGACTCCGAGCGCAGCAACGCCCATGCCCCGCTGCCACATCGGTTGCCGACACCACTCCCAAGCTTCACCCATGTCAGAACCCACAGCCAACAACGTAGTACACGCTTTCAGGAAAGGTAATACTTTATTGAAGAGCTATAGATGCATTAACATAGGCACTGTTAAGAATGACGGCTGCCCATGGGCATAATAGGATATAGGGTATTTGTATGCACCCCTCCACTGCCCTGGCCAATGAGCCACCCTCCTGCACGCGGGAGGAAGAGCTTCGACCGTTTAGCACTGAAGCTGGGAACGAAACACTCTCTCACGGGTCCCAAGAAAACCAGACATCAACATCCCCACCTGCAATACTTAGAGATAAGCGTTGTAGCAGCAAAGAAGCACAGAAGGAATGCAAAGGCAATTAGAAGACAACCAACCTCCCCACCCCCATGGCAGCATAGCTGACAACCCACCACGTGGAATCATTAAGATGGCAGTTCTGCAGGAGAGCATCGCTGCTTTCTACATCACCCGCCCCACTCAGTGGGACACCTGGCTCGAAATCCTGGAGAGCTACTTCTCCTGCCACGACATCGTGGACACAGGTAAGAAGAAGGCCCACCTTCTTCGGACCTGTGGGATGGACACCATTCTGTTGTTAAAGACCTGATCACACCCAAGCAGACGATGAAATTTACGAGACGCTGGTGAAGGTGCTTTCGGACCATCTCTCTCCGAAGCCTACTACGTTATCTGAGCGCATGGACTTCTTTGTGCATGTTCGGGGTCCGGACGAGACGGCCATGACGTGTTCGTTCCCCAGTCTGGCGGTCACCCTGCTCAACCAGTTTCTCTTGGGCCTCCGGGAGCCCAAACTTTGGAGGAAACTAGTAAGCCAGGACAACCTCGACCTGGATAAGGTGCTCTGGGAGGCTGCGGCCTACAAAAAAGCACATCAAGACCACCATGGCAAAGCGGTCCATCACACCTAAGCGACCATTGCGTTGGACAACTCCGAAGACAAGGAGGTTCTACAGGTACGCCACCACTCGTCTCAACAGCAGCATTGGTCAGCGGGACCTTCCTCAGCCAAGGTATCATAGTCGTCATCATCCTGCGCCAGCTGCAGGGAAGCGCATGAACGCAAGTCTTGCTGCTTCAGGGATGCAGTTTGCCGGGCTTGCAACAGGCAGGGTAATCTCGCCCGAGTCTGCCGCTCCAGATGACAGCGCCAGATGACATTGACCCACCAGACTTCATCCGACCTCCACACCCTCTCGACCCACCATGTAACTTGCCCCCCAATAGCCCCAACAAGATGCATGTGACTGTGTTAATTGAGGGGTCCCCCTGCAGCATGGAGATAGACTCCAGCTCATCCTTCTCCATTATCTCTGAGGACACGCTGCACTCGCTCTGCCCAAGGGGGGACCCCTCCTACAAATGCCACAGGGACTCCAGTTATGGGACTTTAACAAAAACCCTGTGGCGGTCCGGGGTTGGGGCAAGTTTAAGGTGCAGTATAAGGACATCTGCGGACTCTTAGACTTGCTGGTGGTGGAGGGTAGACTCACGGGTTTGCTGGGCCTCTTGTAATTCGGGCCGCTGGGATTCACTATCATGGGGGTCAACCAGGTCCAGGCAGAGGATTTCTCGGCAGTGTGTGCTGAATTTCCCAAAGTTTTTGATGGCACGCTCGGTCGGTACTCTGGGGCCCCCATCTCCCTTGATCTCGACCTGGCCGTCCGCCCCCTTTGGGTAAAGGCCAGGCACCCTCCTATCGCTATGAGGCCGAAGATCGAGGCAGAGCTCGATCGCTTGGTGGAACGGGGTGCTGGAACCAGTCACTTCCGCATGGTGGGAGACCCCGATAGTCACCCCGGTCAAGCCTAACGGCGACATGCGCATTTAAGCCAACTACAAGTGCACATTAAGCAAGGCCCTCCAAGATCACGCTTACCCAGTGTCAGTGGTCAGCCATGTGCATTGTGCCAGTACTTCGCCGCTCCTCTAGAGCACGGAAAGCGCCCACCTTTTGTATGTGGGTGTCTTTCGGACCAAGGGGGGAGGGATGTAATATATCCATCTCCGACCACGTGCGAGGCAAGGTCTCCACGTGGTCATGCGAAGCGCCTGAGCTTCGCTTCCAGAGACAATGGCCCAAGCAGATCCTAGCCTCTCTTGTCTGTCACTCAGAGGGCTAGGCTCCCGACCGTCAGCCTATGGAGCTCTCAACAATTGTTATAGCCTATCACAAGTGTGGGGGGGTGTTTGGGTGTGGGGTT